CGCAAGAAAAAAGCAGAAGCAGTAGAAGCGTGGCAAGATGAACGCAAAAAAAGCGCCTACAATTCTGAGAAAGAGACGGAGTACAAGAAGTCTGCGGAGTTGTAGGAGGATCTCGTGATGCGTGGAATCGGGGCTGTAAACCGTTAGCGTTTCGGGTTTGCAAGAGGGGACGGCGTCGCGTAGCGTTAGGGGCTGTAGTAATTTAAGGCGAAATTTAATCCCAATTGGGGACTTTCAGGCGCAATATTCGCGAATATACCCGCCACTCTGTGGACACTGCTTTTCATGTTTCCATCTTCTATTCGACCTTGTTAATTAATCTTTCGATTAAAAATATTTTAAAACTTATTTTGTTTTGTACTAAATTTTGCATTTTAATTATCTGCTTCTTGCCTCGTTTATTTTCCACAACGCATTTTAATGAGGCAAACAATAATATGAATCAACTCAAATAATTATTTTAAAAATTATGACACATATCCTGATGTTTCTAATTTCTCTGAATTATTACAGAATTTAACAGGAATATTTACCAAAATATGTAGACAATATGTCAGCGTAACTACTTTGCAAATACTCAGGAAGTGTAGGGTCAAATGTTTAATTATAAATTAGTATATCAGAAGGTTCGTGCCCAATGTTTGGTAAATAAATTCAACGCGTTGATATGCGTGCGTAATCATCGAATCGTCGAGTAGTGAGGTCGGTCGACATGCATTTACTTGCAACGGCAAGCTGGCTATCATGCATTGTGCTGATGCTTTCAGTTTAACTTTACACGTTTACGTCAACTTCGTTGAATGTTTGATAATTTCATAATTCGTTTCTGTGCGCTTGTCATACAGAAAACGGGCGTGTGTTCGTGCACTTCTGCATTCGCCTCACACACAGCGATAATCAAAGTCCAGACCATTACGATGTTTCTGATCGGTGCATGCACGATTTATTTACTACTCACGATTTACGACATGCAATGCGCAACCGAGAAAAAATAGGTTTTTAAATAATTAGGCGGAAATACATATATAAAATAGTATTTTAAATAAATGACTGTGTTAGGGGACATCTTTTTTAAATTAAATTTATCCAATTAATGAGAATTTATTTATTGTTTGCGTAAAAAGTACCTACACTTTTACTTACGTACGCACATTTGTGCGCAGTAACGTAAATTGTTGTGAACATTGTAGTCAATAAAACGCAATGTGAGCAGTGTCGCGCAGAACGAAATAAAATTACTAGAAGTAGTAATTATTGAGTAACGAGAAAAATAAATTGCCGACGTTAAATCGTTTCACCGAACAGTGCTTCTAGAGTGACGAATGAATTTGCTTTAAAATTTACTCTTATCTGTTAATATAGGAGTGATAGTCAGAAGTAGATAAGATTTTTTTCCGGTTCATTTATTATGGTAGGTTCATATAATGTTATCATGCATTTTATTATATGTTTATAATTTTAAGTATAAAGCTTTGTTCGAAAATATTCTTGTTTTCATTACTTGAGCGCATTTTGCGTTTCGCGATATTTTGCTTTTGCATGGCAAACGCGACGGCCTTCTCATCACATTTGCGCGGTGTGCGCTCGTCACCAATTTTCTCGTGCTCCGGGAACTCGACGCCCCGCCGACGCGCGCAAACTGAACTCCAATTAGCAACTCTAGCCGAACTAAAGTCCAGCAATATATATGCAGATCATAGACGTTAAGTTAAAGGCAAACAAATACAAAACGCCCGACGCAGAGCAAACCGACGTGCGCTGCGGCGGCGATGAACGCGAGGCAGCAAAGCAGCAGGAAAATATAGTTACCTACTATAAATTTAATTTATCTCTTATTTATTTAAAAGTTCAGCATCCGACCGCGAAGGAAAACTTTGAATTTTGTTGCGCATACCATTATGGTCAATCTGGTCGATTTGAAATCGTAATGTAATTTAGTTACAACTTTAGCGCTATTTTTCAATGCCTTTGAGTGAAAAATCTACCAATTCCCACATTTCATTTAGTATTTTCCCGTTTTATTCTTTCGCTGCTCGTTCCGGCAGTTTTATCGCTATTCGTCACCGATTCGCGTACGCGAGCAGTGAGCGCGCGGGAGTGGTGGCGGCATGAACTCAACTCGGCTCGACTCCAATTCGCAAAAGGGCTCGCGCCGCCGTCGGTGAGGAAAGCAGGCCGTTTCTATACAAATGATCTGCTCGCATACACGCGGTGTCGACGCTTTCGTGCTTTGGTATTCTACATTTCCTACAACTCCGACGTTTTGCGTTTTCCAATTCTAAACTCTGACTGTGTGGTGTCCTAGCTCGGCGCAAATCTTTAGCATGCTTTCTTGGGCGGTGGTATCAGGCGCGTTGCTCGAACCTGGTTGCAACTTGGATGGTCATTACATCTTGCGGATATGAACGTGCGCGTATCAGGCACTGGCTAGAGACTAGATTGTGTGGTTCACGTTCGTAGCGCAAGATACAAGTGCGGTGCTCGTTGCTGTTCTCCGTCTGCCTTGGATACTGTCTCACAGGCTCCGAGAGAGTTACCTTGCGCGATTTCCCGTTGCTTTTTGCATTAGCGGCGGCGCGGCGTTACGTTCCGCCAAATGCAACCATAGCACGCGTAAGCGTCGCAACCTTGCTGGTTTGGCCATGCGCTCTCTCGCCGTTCTTTGTCTGTATATCCCAATTAATTTCTTATTCGAAGGTTTCTGAATGTACCTACTCGAAATCATTATGAATTTTTAAAATGTCGTACGTACTACTAAAATGCCACAAAACTAAGCTGATAACTGTATTGATAATGCAGTTAGATTATAATAAATTATAAAAAAGAAGTTAATTTAGCGTAATTGCTTTATGCCTTCAACAAATTAAATTTAATTAAACCGCGGCTGTCAAACACGCGTCCAGTGAACAAAGATTTTAGTGATTTGGTGATGCCGCCGCATGTGTGCATTCACTAATGTGGCGTAATATTAGCAATATTTGTATGCCATCAACAACTGACTATTTGTAGGTATTTTAAGCTCTGCTCATCATTTGAAAATCTCATTTCAGCGTGCGAAATGATTAAATGTCATTTATCTCATTAAAATTGCATTTTACACATTGTTCACATTTTTCTCTTCATTAGCTAGCAAGTACATGTATCGGGTTCACAAACTAATGAGCATTTAGACTTTTACGCCAATTGAAAAAAGTTTGAACTTTCTTTTTGTAGTTTCTTCTATTATTAGCCACTTGAATGATTTAAGTGCACTTTGCCAACTGTTTGATTCGTTTTAAAAAGTGATTTTTATTTGAAAATTTATTGTAATATTAGGACAACATAGGTAACTCTCTAATCTGTATTACTTCCGAAAAGGGGGTTAAATTTCAGCTTCCTGTCCCTCTCGGTTGCTCGTGTACAAGTCGCCTCATTCTCCATTCACCATTCGGGTTTGCGTTCTCGTTCCTGTTCCCGTTCGCGTTCGCCTGCTTATAGATATTTCATGGGTTCAAGCTCAACTTCAGTTTCAGTTCGGAGGCGAGCGCATGGCGCAGTGCTTCCAAGCTTCAGACAGGCAGGCGGTTGGCGGCTATCACGCAATTGCTTTCTCGCTCGCACTTCGCGAACGCGACTCGTGGCACATAACTTACGTCCTTACGTTCTTACGTCTGCTCGCACGCTCGCATTCGACGACCGACGACGACTTTCCACGCTGTTCTATCCCGTGCAATTTGCCAGCGCGCATTTGCTGCATGCTGAATTGCTCCACGGACTCTATTTTGTATTCCATATCCAATATAGTATGCGACTTGGCTATGAGTCGTCTCTCTATGCACACTCATACTCAATCTACGCGATTTAGTCATACACGTACACACAGCCGTAATGCCTAGATGTGAAACAATTCCTAATTAAAATCTAAGTATTTAATGCTGTGTTAAATGTCTAACATTATCAGCAAATTATTATGCGAACGGATTTTCTTACGAATTAAAATAGAAATGGTAGTCAAAACGTTGGAATATTTAAGAAATTTAAGTCAATCTGCTTTATGAGCAAAGTTTGTAACTGGACTTTAAATGCTTGAGCATTTCTCTCGCGCAGGTTCTCACTGCACACCAACCGTGTGGCCATAAATTAAATGCCTGTTTGGTGTTTGCTATAGGCACGTAGGTATTCACGTAACATCTGCAATTGAAGGTTCCTAAATTTCAGGTATGTTTATTCATTTGTATTTGTGCCGAATGGTTGACATTTGCAATAACTTAATACTCACTCAATGTAAAATTTACTTTTGAAGAATATTTAGCAATATAAAAGTTGAAAACTATCATTTTACATATTTTGTTAATATGTATTATAATTCAATGTGATTAGAAAGTGATTAAACAGGAAAAATATTACAGATGTTTTGCAAGACGGCCACAACTTTTCTTTTAATGTGAAAGCAATTACTTTTAACTTCGATCGAAAATTTAATTTCGTATAATAGTATATTGCATATTAAGCGTGCAAAATGAATTTAGTGACTTTTCATTGTGTCGATTGTTTTGAAGTAGATATTTTAAAGTTGGTTGGAAATCGCCTTTGTTTACTAAATGTAAACAAGAAAATGAGATGCATGTTATTCAATGATTGGCATAATATTAATTCATGGTAACAGAGTTAGTAAAGTGCCAGGATTTTCCGAGAAAGTGTCGGTTTTGCTTAAATAAAGGTGTGAGTGTGCTGTAGTTCATTAGGAAATTTTTCGCGACTCCATATGAATATTTGTATTTGTGCGAAGCGTAATTTATCGTCCGTAAATTTATCAAACAATATGCACGTTTGTGTGGGTACACCAATGTGCGGCGTGCTGCGTTTTCGCCCAGGCGTGCGACGTGCGCTGTTAGAGTGTGCGGGCACGGGCACGGGCGCGAGCAACGTGGGACTCTCCGGCGCACGCTGACTCGCTCCTCTGCGCGTCTCTACCGCGTGCGCGCCGCGCTAGCTGTGTGTGCTGCGGCGCGGTGCGTCGTCGTCGTACTCCTCGTACGCTCCATCGTCATTCGGGGCGCTCATTCGCATTGTCAGTCACAGTCAGTCAGCGCTCGTAGTCGGTCGGTGTGCGCGACTCCTGCCTGAGATCACGATCCGCACGTACAGCCGACGCACTAGAAGAGCGAGCGATCCGTACGCGAGTCGCGCGCACACACATACAGATACCACACATCCTTCCGAAGAGCCTAGCACACGGCGCGCATCCAGCGGCAAGTGTGCGCGTGTGACGCGACCAAGTAAAAACACACACACCGGACCCGCTTTTTGCGCTCCTTTTTCGCTCTCGCTTTATGCACATGTCCTCCCGCACGGAATTTAGTGAGAAGTGAGGAGTGCGCTAATCTGGACGAACTTTGCGAATTAAACGTAAAAAAATATATACAAAAAATAAGGAACAAAAGGATAACTTGAGGTGTAGAGTGCGCCGCAAACTTTTACAAACTAATGCACAGTTATAATTGTGTCGATGTGCGAATTGCCGCACACCGTGAGGAAGCAGTGAAAAATTGCCCAGAGAGCGAGCACCAACACACGCGCTCAAGGCTTAATGACGCTCTCTAAATGATATAATCATCTCATTACAATTACGACCGCAGCGTTTTACCAACCTGCCGAACCTATTGTGGATTATTATTTACACGTCGTTTTTCTTCCGTTTGTGAAGAGCAAACCAAGTGGTGCAACGTGAACCGCCAAACATAAACAATAAACTCTCGAAATATAATCAAAGGAAAGGATAATATCGCGCCAACAAAGTGGACGGAAAAAGTGATATATCGGAGAATTGTGCACTTTGTGTTTAAATCTGTTATCTATCTGTTTCGGTGGGTGGTGGATTATCACCGCCTTTTATCTCAGCTCTACGCGCGATTCCGCCATCTCCTAATCAGGATATGTGCGAATTCCACGGCGACTGCGAGTGCACCAACACGTAGAAGTCAGCGGAACAAAGGATTTCACCCATACATGGTACGTACTCACTCGGCGTATTTATTTATTGCACATTAACGGCGTTACGAGTTGCAACACCACTCATTTATCAAACAATTACAATTGTTAGTCGGTCCAGATTAATTTAATTATCTGGTCAACTTCGATGAGGAAAAAAAAACGGAATTGTTTATGAGTGCGTTTAAAATATGCTTCTAATTATGATATTTTTTGCTGCGTGTCGCTGCGAATGACAAAGGAACAAGAAAAATAAAACAACCATTATTTGACGCTCAGTTAGTTACACTTTCCTTGAATGGCTCTCTTCGGTACAGCATTTTTGCGCGATTGTGCGCGCCGATTAAATATTATTCCGCTTATTTATTTTACACTAAGGTTCTTTATGCTGTTTCTTCGTTGTATTAAAATGCAATGTGTTAGTGTAAGCATAAGCATTGCGCTTTGCGAACGGTTTAACCTTGCGCAACCTTATATCAGTTTTTATGAACATTTATTTGAGGGACATTTTTATTCGAAGTGAATATCGCCAAGTCCAAACGCATACTTAAAAAAACAAGTTGCACATTAAAACATAATTAGGCGAGCATTATGTATTACGAATGTGCGTTTACGCAAGTAGCAAAGCGATTGTCGTCGGCCGGCCGGTTAAAAATCAATTAGTCGGGGCATAATAGATGAATTAGATGTGGAGCGCGCGCGGCGTCCAAAATTACTCTTAAGAAGCGCGCACACAAAGAAAGTTACACTACCACGAACGTGCAATATTTATGCCCATACTTGTGTTCCAAACGCGCTGTGTGTTTGTTGTCTGTTTTCTGTTTCTCTGTTTCGTTTTCGCTCCTTTTATATTGTTTAGGTATGTGATTTCATCAACAGTTTCAACTGTTTGTACACGCACAAGGTGAAGTTTCTCGTGAGCGAATGTATGTGTTGTTCGTGCGCATTTGTGGTTTTTTGTTCGGTGTATTTGTCTTTTTCGTCGATTTTAGTTTTATTTATATTCTCATTTCGTTTTCGGTTGAGCTCGATCTCGAACAAGAACGTATTGAGTTGCGTCTGCCAAGTTGTTTCCAACTCGATAAATACATTAATATTTGAGTTTTTGTGTATTCAACGCGAAAAGAAGCAATTTTCCCCAGGAAAAAATCACTGCTACCAGCTTAACTTTTGAACTCCATAATCTTCCATAATCCTTTAACCGTACATAAATTATACGGTTTAGTTTAATGATAGTAGATAGAAGTTTCAAAGGCTACTTTTTTTTCAATTTAGTAAATTTGTCTTTCTACGATTACAAAAATAACTGACATTTTATTTTGAGTAGAAGCGTTAATCTTTCAAATACGATAAGTTTAATTCACGTTTGACATTCAATTTAATTTGCTAAATAAAATACTCGTGCCTACTTACTTAGCTATTTTATACCAATATTTATTGGTTTTTATGCATGCTTTTCTTAAAGCATTTTTTTAATATCTACATTTGGTAGGCTTTTTTTTATAGTTTACACTATTTTCGTTTGCTTTCCCCTCAAAAAGGCCCTAAACGTTCTGCCTGCTTTTGTTGGTTGTGACGCGAGTCAAATTTGTGTTTTATTTTAAAAAAGCCATTCATTCGCATGTGCGTGCATAGTGCGTTTAACTTTCTACTCAATTTGTTACCCTGAACGTTTCCAAAACGTGTGTATTCAACGTCGCGTTGCGAGACATCGAGTGCGTTCGGTGTGGGTCTTGTACTTGTTTTCATGTGTGTGCGTAAGTACCAATATAGCACCTAATAGCCGTTGCAGTTGTAACGACGCGCGGCGCGACGACTTTCAAGCTTTGGAACTTAGCGATTGCTCGCTTACTCGCTCCCGCACACCTACCGAAAAATAAACACTAGAGTAAACACAAACACGTACGTGAGTGGTATAATTGAAGCAGAAAAGAGAAGTCGGGTGTGTTTTTGTTAGATTGAAAGAAATTGTAAACGATACTTGTTAACTATTTAGGGAGGAGTTTTACACGAATTAAATCTGAATTTTTACACTAATTTGATCTGATTAGTGCTGATAAAATATTGAAACATTAAATTATAAAAGTTAAAGCGTTAAAGGGAGCAACCAAATAGTCTTGTTTGTCGGTGCGCTATTTAGTTAAACGCCCCAAAACGTAAATAAACTAAATTAATGACAGAATCGGGCACTCGACGGCTGCAGGCTGCAGCACGGATCGCGCGGACGGACGTGAAAAGCGGGCGAGCGAAAAGAAACACAAAAAAAAAACAGGCAAAGAGCATCGACACAGAGGGGCAAGCAAAACGCGACTTCGTCGCGACACGGCAAACGAGCGCTTCCAAGATAAGGCATAAGCGCATAAGCATTGATTATCGTTATCGATGGTGCTAGGCTATGAAGTCATTTGTCGTTGTCATTAATAGTCAATTACATCAGATGAACGAACGACGACGACAAATGACGACGCTGAAACTAAAGCCCTGTGTCGCGTCGCGTCCTTAGCCTGTGTATGTGCGTCTTTGACTTCGACTTCGTCTGGCTTGATTTCGCTTCGAGACGACGACATGCTAAGCCAAACCGTACGCGCTAAGCCGAGACGACACATATGTGCTTCGGCGGCTTCGCCTTCGTGTGTGTGCGTTTAATGGGCGCTTCGTTTTCGTTGTTTCATAGTCGGGCTTAAATTTGTATTTAAATCTCGGGCACGATGATGACGGTGCCTTAAGAGACAAAAGAATGCAGCATATTAAGCTTTATATTATCATAAATAGCGCAACCACATGAAAAGTGACGGGTTAAAAATCATTTGCAGCTTGTTTTTTGATCCTTGATTTTTCTTTATTGATGCTTTGTCGCCGAGGAAGAACACTTGGTATGTAGGCGCATTGAAATATCCTTCTGTTCCGCGGCGCGACGTTAATGAGGAGATTAAATGAGCGAACGAACCAGTTAGCGTTACTCGCGTATTGAAGTGCTATCGAGAACGAGAGAAACACAGAAACACGCTAAACGCGAAGAAGTGACATAACCGCGCTCGCCGCTACGGCTCTCCGGCGGAGCTTATTGCTGGCGTTTCTTATCCCGCTTGCTCGCCATGGTAACTTAAACTGCGCGCCGGAGATCTCGACAGAAAACGGAACGTTCGGAACATTAACAAGTATTGATGGCACGAGCCGCGCGTTTATTAAAGGCCTTCGTCATTAAATTTTTCTTTTATTTAATTTACTTCCACTCGGGTATCATCCGTGCGGTCGGCCGTCCTAATTGCACTCTAAAAATCACACCAAGCAAGCAGACTGCAGTGCATACGGCTGAATTTGTTTGCTTAGCGTTTTGTTATAATTGCATTTGCTCATTTATCATCCAGGTTTATATATTTTTTTGTCGTCATCGCCGCATGTTGTTCAGGAAGGCATTATCTCGCGAAAACATTGGGCATAAATTTTCACTACTATAAATCACATCTTTCTCGGCGACTAGAAGACACTTAAACTTTTTTTGGACGCGTCAAATTGAAAAAGCGATCGCGGCACTTTGGCGAAGTGCGGAAAAGGCGCAAATTCGACGCTCATAATATTCGTAATCGTAGGTAAAGGTGGATGGGTTGGCGGCGAGCACGGCGTTCATTTATTATTCATATTATTCAAAATGCGGCTGGTGTTGCGGTCCGGACACCGAACAAATCGACGCTTCGGCGAAAACTCAAAGCGCCGAGCGTTGTGTCTCGTGGAATTAACTTGTAATAACGTAATCGTATCAATGACAATCTATTCTACGAGCACTACATGCTCTCCACATCGCGCGATAATAACGGGAACTCGGTAAGTCATGATTTGCGATAGTCAGTACTGCGACAACTCAGTGTCAATTATTTATTTTTTGATAACCCATCTAAAGATAACTATGTTTATTTGTGCCTATTTTATTGTAGAACAATAGATAAATACGAACGATTTCAATGTTATAATAGAATATTAATATTCGTTTTGAAGTTTCTAGGCGTCGCTGTTCGCTAATTTTAGATATTTACGCTTGTTGTTAATAATCTTCAAATATTTAATGTAATTAGTATCAGCTGAAACATTCCGTTTCATATTATCACTTCAATACTTTTTTTAATGTTAAATGTAATAAACATGTCTCTCGAGATTTAAACCTGTCTGTGTTAACTTGACTTTGATTATATTCTCGGCTTAAATTAGGCGTGATAGTAAAATACTAATTCTGCAGTATGATTTATGAGTTACGCATAATTGAAACTAGAATGAACCAGCTACTTTTGTTTTTGGTAAAACTCTATTAATAGTATAGTTTTAAATTTCGTGATTTTTAAATTTGCTATTTTGTTGCTTGTTGTTCAACTATAAAACCGTGTAACGACGCGAAAATGTAAATAAATTTAACGTGAATATGTAACGATTTACCGAATTGGCGAATGTTTTTCAGATTATTGTTCGAAATGTTATTGCCGCGAATTTAAATATCTTATCTTAACAAAGAAAACAAACATCTTTTATATTTACAGCTACATGTTAAATGCTTCCATAAACTTTAAATTTTTGTTGTTTTCGAACTTCAATCGGGGAACTTTGTTTTGTGCTTTTGGAAACTTACAGATATCGTTTTCTTTGTCGTAAATCCAATCCCTTTTGTTTGGCGTGCTGTAATTACAAGTATGTCAACAATAAGTGAACAATTAGATTAGAGATTAGGATTAGGCAGAATAGTACGTGATATCATTTCACAATATCGATTGCATTGATTTAGGATTTTGCCAGGTAGACAATCACCTGTTGTTTAAATAGGTTAATTCCACTTTAACTTTGTGTTTTGTGCAATTATCTTTAATGTGTTTCCCCCACTTTTAGTTTATTACTACCCCTTTTTCTACCGGGGTTGCGAATTGAAAAATGGTCACTTTGAGTTTTGACTTTATTGGTTTATATTTGTGCGTGAAGTGTTTGAAAGTAGATTCAATAGTTACGGTTATTGTTGTTCGCTAGTTTCTATTCGTTTTTAA